CCCTCAGGCTGCTTGTATTCTGCTGTCTTCCCTTGCCCCTAGCTGTGTGAATTGTACTGGGACCTCCATCTTATTCTCTGAGATGATGGATGGTGGTTGTAAGAATCAGCAATGCCCTGTTTGAGCTAGTAGGTGCTGAAATGGTCTATACAGTTGTTCCTTGTGTCAGAAATTGGTGTTTGCAGGAAAGAGTCAACTGTAAAATTGTTCTTTGGTGTCTGTAATGAGCTCTAGCCCCCTAGAAGAAGCACTTGAATGCCCCAGACAGTGCAAGGGGCTCTCTGATTCTCCCAAGGGGTTTCTTGTTCTCCACCACAGCAAAAGGGTAGGGGTGAGGCTGGGTGAAGCTAGTTTAGGTGAGCCTGCCTTGTGGCTCTGCAGATGTAAGTCCTGGAACTGTCCTCACAAGGATTGAGGTCAGCTGCCACGCTGCTGGGGGAGGGCACTGGAAGAGGGCTGAAGTGGTCCCCACAAAAGTGGAAAGTCTGCTCGTGGGGAAGGGCCAGTCTGCAATTCACCAACTGGCTGTTGGGAGTGAATATTGCCTCCATCTCTCTTCCCCTGCCCTGAGAGACTCCTTCCAGTGTCTGGTTGTAAATGGGCACCTGAATTCACCATGCTCACCAGTGATGGAACCTCAGGCTGTGACCCACACTGCTCATGGACCCACCTCAGTCTAAGGGTGTGGTTTTCCAGCAAGGGGATGGGTGCTCCACCCGTTTGCTGTGGGTTGGCCCCACAGTGTACTCGCCTGTCTGTCCTACCCACATGGGCCCCTTTGCCCCTCAAGTTTAGCTCTCAATTCTCTCCTCTGTGACCCTAAGAATTCTGATCAAGTCTTGGGGTACAAAATCCAGCTACTCACCTGTTTTACTGGCAGGTGCCTCAGGGGAGTGTCGGTGGTCCGGGAACTACCAGACTGAGCACCCCTCAGTCTTCCGCAGGTCCTCAAGAGGAAAGGTGTGGGCCTCTCTCTGTGTGGAAACCTCAGACTAGAGGGCACATCAGCAAAGCACAGGAAGCCACTTTTAAAAGTCTCAGTTTAATGGCCCCTTTCGGCTGCAGGGGTTAGGGAAGAAATAGGTAGAGGAAAAGAGTCTGACTAGAAGACAGCTGGCACTCCAGTTCTTCCCGACTTTCCCTGGAAAGAAGCCTGCAGGAAATGTTCAAGCTCTGGGATCACACAAGTTCTCTGGGGCCTACTTCAATCTGGGCTGGAGTAGGGAACTGTCTTGTGTGTGAACAGGTGATGTGAACACTGAAGGGCTGGGGCTCCCTGGGACAGAGAACAGGGCAGTATATGTGGAGAAGCAATATGGCGTCTGCCATCTTGGCCTATGACTATGGCCAAGGGGGATGACCCCCAAAGCAGCTGGAAGCCTGATGCTTTATTTTTGAGAGGGTCCCAGTTCAGTGGTTGAAGCAGCATTTGGGTTTATGAGGGTGGAAAATCTCCTGAGTAACTCTGCAGCCTACTGAACACCAGAGGTGTGTGGGAAGGAGAAATGAAACCCCTACCTACTATGTTCACTGAGCTCCAAGCTTCTCTGATGTAGAACTCTGTTGATATCTTTTATTCTTCTTGTTCTACTTTGCAATTTCTTTCCATGAATCTCCAGCAGGCTCTGGCACTTTTACTCCCAAATTACACCTGAGCTGTACCCATTCCTACCTCTCCTCTATCCGAAACCTTTTCTTCCTTCAGGGACAATATGGCAACCGATGTCTCTAGTCAGCCATCTTTTTAAAAATCTTATTTGTTTATCTTAAATGATAGAATACTTCTGTTTAATTTTTAGAGGCATATATTATATATGAGAATTTTGATCAAAGAACTTGTGTGTATATACTATGAATTTTTTGTTTTTGCCAACTTTCTAGCTTAATACTCTTTTTCTCTGGCAGTAGAAGCCTTATTTGTGGGCTCTTTGTAAATATCCACTGTCAATAAAACAAGAATATTTTTTAACTTATTGTGGAGGAAAGAGTTTATAACATACACTGATAAGTTACATCAAGGAAAGCCATGCAGTCTAGACTGTGGAAAACATGTCAAACATACATGTATTCAGTTGGAAGCAGCTGAGTTAGCTTAAGCAAGGGAAAAGATTTATTATAAAAATATGTAGATATCTCTTAGAATTCAGGGACATAAAAGCACCCAGGCTGCAGGAAAAGTCTACCTCTGAACCCTGCACAATCAATTCAGAAATGGACAGCAGGTGAGAGTACAGGTGGCTCGGTGTGAAACTACCAGCATTATGACAGAAACACCAACTCTGATGAACAGATAAACTGTAAATGTAATACCCCTGGATTTGAGTCCATTCTGAGTCTTCCTGAATGAAAAACATTAAAAACAAAATGACATTTACATTTTTTATCACCCTAAGCATACCTCTATATTTTTTTCCTCTGAAGAACATTTTGCTTAAAATAAATTTTATTACTTACACTTGGCTTCCTGCAGCAAGGACTGTCAAATCTTGAAGTGCAATTATTTATTTGTTTATTTTTAGCAGTGTGACCTATTGTAGTAGGAGTCTGTTCACACGTTTTAACAAAAACACCCCATTGTAAGGGTTTCTCCTGTCTACATGGCTCCAAATAAAATGAAGAATTATTTGGAATTTCTGATTGTCTGTGGAATCAAAATGGTTAATTCAAAATTCTAAACAGAAATAGTAAAGTGAATTTCCAGCCTAAATTGCTTGATTGATTTACCTTGTCTAAATTGATCAAGGTTGTTTCTTACACAATTTGTAGTGTTCGGTGAAATGGACACGTCCTTGGGTCCACCGAGTTCATATATTACAGTTGAAAAATTTTGTGCCTCTCTGGGGACTCTTCTTTAGAGTTCGCTACTCTTAAACTGTTTCTTTAGGATTTCTTAGGGAAAGAGCTCTGCCCAATTCATAATTTTCCTTATGAATCAGAAGAATTTATGAATTTACATATCATTTGTTTATTCAACAAATGATTTTTGACAGCTTACTCTGTTCCAGGTCTGGTTTGAGGGACTTAGAATACATCAGCGGATAAAACAAACAAAAATATGGGAGCTTACATTCTAGTAGGGGAAGACAGATATAAACATTAAAAATAATCATGATAATGATAAATCACATATGATATTGGAAGGTGGTAAGTGCCATGGAAAGGAAAATAGAGCGAGGGAAATCGGGTTGGAAGTGTGTTAGGGGGGAGTTTAGGTTTCAATTTGATATCGAATGGTCTGTGTAGAGTTCATTGAGCAGAAAACATTTGGAGAAAAAGCTTGAAGAAGTTGACAAAGTTAGACACGCTGAGGGAACAGGGTTCCCAGACAGAGATGACAGTGAGTGCAAAGGTCCTGGGGTGCGTGTGGGCAGCCAGGCCCATGCAGCTGCAGTGAAGTGAGCCAGTGGCGGTGCAGGAGTCAGAGAAAGAGGGGGATGGAGGTCAGTTTCCATGGGCCTTTACAGTGGTTTTCTGTTGCCTCCACATTCCCTCCAAATTCGTATGTTGATGTCCTAATCCCTAGTCACCTCAGAGTGTGACCTTCTTTGGAAATAGAGTCATTGCAGATGTCATTAGTTAAAATGAGGTCGTGCTGAAGTGGGCCTCTAATGTACTATGACTGATGTCTTTATGAAAACAGGAAATCTGGACCCAGACACACACACGGAGGACGCCGCCACGTGAAGGCCAAGTCAAAGACTGGGATGATGCTTCTAACAAGGTAAGGGACGCCCATGACGGCCAGCAAACCACCAGCAGCTGGGAGAGAGCCGTGGATCAGATTCTCCTCCATGGCCCTTAGAAAGAAACAACTCTGGGGATGCCTTCGTCTTGGACTTTTAGCCTTTGGAACAGCGAGGCAATACATTTCTGTCAAGCCACCCAATTTCTGTGGTACTTTGTTATGGCAGCCCTCGCAAAGTAATACGTAGGGAGTTGTAAGGATTTTCTGACTTTACCACTGGGGAGATGGCAGGCATGGCAGGGTTTTCAGCAAAGGCAGAACATGATCTGATTTCCACTTTAAAAGGATATTTTTGGGTGTCGTGTGGGGAATACACTGTCAAGGAGCAAAAGTGCAATATTGAGTCATAAATACAGGCCAGGGATGATGGTAGTTCTGACCTTGGGGTAGCATTGGATGGGTAAGTGGGGAGTGGTTGGTTTCTAGATTATGGTCAAGGCAGAGATGACAGGATCTTCTGATGGACTGGATGCGAAGTATGAGGGAAAGAGGCATCAGGCATGAATGTGAGGCGTTGCACTTGGTATCCTTGAAATAGATTGACTACTTCCTCATTCACGGACATGGGGGAGGCTCCGGTTGGAGGTTTTTATTTAGTTTTAGTGGGAGGAGGTCAGAGTTTCAGTTTCGGACACGTGAAGTGTGAGCCTTCTAATGACAGCCAAATGAAAGTATTATTAAATGGCAGCACAAGATGAATTCATTTCCTTTTAATGGCCTTGAAAGCTGCCAACAGAGATAAAGTCCATCAAAACATAGACAACATAGAATACAGAGATCTTAGGCTGACACAATAAAAATGAAGAGTTAAATACACATAAAGATGCTGTAATGCTGCAAAATAGGTTTTAATTAGAAGTTTCAAAAAAAACACTTCTGTTCTCAAGGCCTCTCCACTGCTTTCCATAACATGCATTATTCATGCTGCGTGTGCACCGAAATGGGTTGGAGGGGCCCAGCGAGAAGAGCCAAAGAGCCAGTCGTGAGAAGTCTGCCTGCAGTGCTCTTTCTGGGCTATGACAGGTGACTTTTCCTAGTGCGCTACCTTCTAAGATTCCTCCATATTTAGTGCTTTGGCCTGGATGACTTCTCTGATCAGCTACAATTAACTGTGCTGAACATTCTTATTTACTGCTCCCTCCCTCCTGAAGAAATCAACATCCATGACCACCAGCCTCCAGATTATTTTCATGAGGCATTTTAGAGTGTATTAGAACGCAAACCGAAAGTGATCTCAGGCCCGACGTTTGCAGAATTAATGGGCTTTCAAAAGTTGTTTATTTTGATTTTTCAGAAGCAGTAACATTCAAGACAAACTCTAACAGCCAGCAGCTCTTCTTTTGGGTATTTTGAGAGCTGTTTTCTTGTGGGTGATGGCGGAGGCAGCAGTCGGGAGGTAGCTGGAAGGCTGGTGGCCCACAGAGCCTTGGAGGTGGCAGGCAGCCAGCTGGGGCGGAGGCTGCAGGGTGTGGGTGTGCGGGGAAGCTGTGAGGGGAGGGAGGTGTGAGGAACAAGTGGAGATGGTAGAAAATGTTCTAGAAGGCAGAAGAGGCAAGCGAGGAGGCGGGAAGCAAAGGCTGAGGGAGAGCATCTTGCATAGTTAATGGCCTTACGACTTAATATGGTTGAGAGTCCATTTGGTGGTTCATGGGTCTAAAAATGACACAAGGAAGATTATTTCATAGTGAAGCGAGTACAGCAGGCCCTGTTTAAACACCTGTCAGGTGCTAGGCACAGTGCGAGGCCCTTTTCATGGGTGCTCCCCCTTGTCAGGGCACCCTGACACGGATCTCCCCATGCCACTGATTTCACCTACTTTGGGCACCCAGACTCTCCCCATCTTTGCTTCAACCCCTTCTAGAACTTTTGGGGGAAAAATTGAAATAAAGTGCAGAGATACACTTATCACAGTTACCTGTTTGTAGATTTAGCTACTGCCCGGAAGTCTCATAGAACAAACGTCAGTGTCAGACAGAAACAGAAATTTCCTAGGTCACAGAATCCCAGTCCGTATTATTTCTTTGGCTTCATCCAAACTTCTGAAGAGTTGGCGTGGCGGGTGAAAAGTGCCTTCTCAGCTCACCCAGCTCAAGATCACAACTGTAGAAGGAGAACTCATTTCTGTTCCTTTCAGAAGTAAGTGGCTTCCTTACCTGAGGCACATCCTCAGTTGCTACCCGGATCCCTGAGACATTCCAAAATCCCCCTAGTGAAAGAACCCTTAGAATCTTACAGTGAGGGGCAGAGAGATGCTAGCTTCTTTTCTCTGTGCTGTAGCAACTTTTCTTTCACATGCCATTTTTCCCTTTCGTGTTCTGTTGATTTTATCTTTCTTGAACATAAGTGCTTGCATTCTTCCTAAGAATCTCCCTTCGTGGGCAGAGCTTGAACTCTCCACCTCTTCCATGGCAAATTCCCATCCTCTCATTGACTTCATATGGCAGCCCTGTAAAGTATATGAGATTAGCTCCTTTTTATAGACAAGGACACTGCAGTTCAGAGAGGTAATTTGGCCAGGGCAACAGAGTAAATTATTAGCTGGGGTTTGAGCCAGGTCAGCCCAAATCCCAATTCCCAAATCTCAGATTTACCCACCATGTTGTAGGACCTGCCAAGCAGAGTAGGGTCAGGGAGGGAGGGTCTAAGCAGAAGAAATTCATGTAAATTAGGCAGAAGTGCCCAGAAAGGCTGGGAACTCAGCCTGGTCCAGAGAGGCCATGATGCATAGGGTAGCAGTATTGTAAATGAGCAAGTCAGTCAGTCTCGGGGTGAAACTAGAGATTTTTATGTTGGTGGTGCATATATGCCCATAGGTATTACAATGACACTCAGACCCATTGCTGGAGCATGCAGTTGACTCCCATGGTCTGATTTCAGAGGCTTTGGGGACATGTTCCTCTGCTCCCTGCCCAAATACCTCTTTTATAGACCTCTTTCTGAGGTAGAATTTGCATCCCTCAAAACCCACTCCTTTAGGTTTTTAAGAAATTATTTTGTATTAAAGAGTATGTAGGTTTTTTGAACTATAGCATATTAAATATTCTCAGCTACTCAACATTTTCACTGATTTTTTCATTTATTCATTCCTTCATAACATGTGAGACCCAATATTTCCATTAGCTAGAAAGATATAAAAAGAAAGTCACAATAGCTCCTGACCTCAAGGTTTGTTTCTAGTTGTAGAAATATACCATTAAATACTTGGAAAAAATATGCTTTGATAGACAATTGTGCAGGAACTGTGACCATGTGAACTCACTGACCTCTGTAACAGTTGTTGAATGACCAGGAGAATTAGATAATCTTTCCTGGATGATGCAGAAAACAAAACAAAACAAAACAAAACAAAACAAAACAAAGAAGTACGCTACTTTCTTTTGTTTTTTTTTAAGAATAAGAAAAACAAAGTTATTTTACCTTCACTTATGCCTCCTCTAACACCCTTTTTTTCTTTATGTAGATTCAAGTTTCTGACCTACATACTTTTCCTTCCTTCTGAAGAATTTTGTTTTTATTTCAAAGTATTATGGGGGTACAAATGTTTTGGATATAAGGATTGCTTTTGTAATGCTTGTGATGCTTGTGCCAGGGTTTAAAGTGTACCCATCAACCAGATAGTGTTCATTGTACCCATTAGGTAGGTTTTTGCCCATCCCTTTCTCCCCCTTCTCCCCTGCTTGATTTCCATTGACTTTTATTTCCCTCTGTGCACATGTGTGCTCATTGGTTAGTTCCAATTTAATAGTGCGTCCATGTGGTGTTTGATTTTCTATTCTTTAGATACTTCACTTAAGATAATGGTCTCCAGTTCAATCCAAATTGTCACAAAAGGCATTAAGTGATCCTGCTTCATGGCTGAGTAGTAGTCCATAGTAGTCCATGGTATACATATACCACATTTTGTTAATCCACTCATGAATTGATGGGCACTCGTTTGATTACTAATTTTCACAATTGTGAATTGTGCTGCAATAAACATTTGAGTACAGGTGTATTTTTGATAAAATGACTTTTTCCCTTGGGTAAATATCCCAATTGGACTGCTGCATAAATAAATAAATATTGGATAAATAATAAATATTGGACTGCTGGATCAAATGGTAGGTCTACTATTAGTTCTTTGAGGAATCTCCATACTGTTTTCCATAGAAGTTGTACTAATATGCAGTCCCACCAGCTGTGTATAAGCATTCCTTTCTCTCTGCCTCTATGCCAGCATCTGTTGTTTTTGGACTTTTTAATATAAGCCATTCTGACTGGGTTAATGTGATATCTCATTTTGTTTTTAATTTGCATTTCTCTGATGATTAGTGACATTGAACATTTTTTCATGTGTTTATTGGACATTTGCCTATCTTCTTTTGAGAAGTTTCTGTTCATGTGTTTTCCCACTTTTTAATGGAGTTGTCTGAGTTTTTCTTGCTGATTTGTTTGAGTTCCTTGTAAATTCTAGTTATCAGTCCTTTATCAGATGTATAGCTTGTGAATATTTTCTCCCATTCTGTAGGTTATCTATTTGTTCTGTTGATTATTTCCTTGGTTTGCAGAAGCCTTTTAATTTAATCAAGTCCCATTTATTTAGTTTTGTTGTTGTTGTGATTGCCATTGGGGTCTTCTTCATAAATTCTTTGCCTAGCCCTATATCTAGAAGAGCTTTTCCAACATTTTCTTTTAGAATTTTTATGGTTTTATGACTTAAATTTAAGTCCTTTATCCATCTAAAGTTAATTTTTGTGAGTGGTAAGAGATATGAATTCTGCTTCATTCTTTTACATGTGGCTATCCAATTTTCCCAGCACCATTTATTGAATAGAGATTCTTTTCCCCAGTGTATATTGTTGTCTGCTTTGTCAAGGGTCAGTTGGATATATGCAGATGGTTTTATATATGGGTTTTCTGTTCCATTGGTCTATGCCTCCATTTTGGGGCTAGTATAATGCTGTTTTGGTTACTATAGCCTTGTAGTATAGTTTGAAGTCTGGTAATGTGATGCCTCCTGATTTGTTTCTTTTGCCTAAGGTTGGTTGGCTTCAGGCTCTTTTCTGGTTCCAAACAAAATATAAAGTTATTTTTTCCAGATATGTGAAATATGATATTTATATTTTGATGGGGATTGCATTGAATCTGTAAATCACTTTGGTAGTATGGACATTTTAACAAACTCCCAAGATTTAATCACGAACAAATAGAACTTCTGTACAGACCAATAGTGAGCAACGAAATTGAAACAGCAATGAAAAATCTTCCAATAACAAAAAAAGCCCTAGACCAGATGAATGTACAGCTCAATTGTATCAGACCTGCAAAGAATTACTGCCTATTCTGCAGAGATTACTTCATGACATCAAGAAGGAGTAATCCTCCCAAACTCATACTGTGATGCCAGTATCATCTTGATACCAAAGCCAGGAAAGGACACAACAAAAAAAGATAACTGTAGACCAATATCCCTTATGACTTTGGATGCAAAATCCTCAATAAAGTACTAGCAAATTGAATTTAACAGCACATCAAAAAAAAAAAAATAATCCACCATGACCAAGTGGGCTTCATCCCAGGAATGTCAGGCTTATTCAACATACATAAATCAATAAATATGATTGACCACCTAAACAGAAGCACCTTTCTTGGAGAACAAATGGTGCATTAGAGCAAACAATTAATTGAATGGAAATAGAATGTAATGTGACAGCAAGACGTGGCCAGAAACAGACTAAAAAAGTAGCTAAGAACCTGGTCATGGAAGATGCAACACCTTAAAGCAAATACATTTTAGAATCGAAAATAAAAATGTAAGTCAGGTCTTACACAAGATTGTTGGTTGTTTTGCCTTGATATGAAGCCTAATAATAGCTTACACTTAGTGAATGCCACTTGCCAGACATTGTTCTAAGCATTTATAGGCCTTCAAAAAATTTCTATAAATTAGATAATATTTTTATTTTATATATGGGGAAACTGAGGCAGGGAGGAGTTAAGTAACTTACCCAAGGTCACTCAGCTTATGAGTGGTAGATTTGTGATTTAGTCTCAAAACTGAATGTCCTTGACTTTAGTGCTACCATAGTTAACCTAGTTTTTGTTCCTGTGTGTACTTATTTTTTCTTGCTTTCCTTCTAAGTTACAGCTCTTCAAGGCCAAGAGTCATGTGTCCTTGGTGGCAGCAGCCGGGGCAGCACCGCATAGACAATGATGTACACTTTGTGCCATCTGCGTGGCTGATTGATGCTCTTTTTGGTTTTATTTGTCACAAGACTGCTGTAAGGGAGTGACCTGAGTTTCACTACAGAGAAATCTGGGGCCAATAAAGGAAAACTTTGCAAACAGCAGGGCAACTTTCCTGTAGCAAGTAACAGCCTTCACAATGTGTTTAGTCAGCTATTGGTATATAGTTTCAGGATTGATAAAAAAAGTCATTTTGATAGAAGGCATGCCTTCATCCACCATATCTCACATCTGAGTTTCAGAACATTAGTGAATGTTGACACTCATAGCTAGAAATGAAGGGAAGAATTAATGCTTTCATTTAAATTTTATCTACATTTAAATACTTTAATAAAATTTCCAAAAAATTTAAATGTATAGAAGCAAAATTCTTCTGGGTAGAAGGCTGAGAAGAAGCCAGCAAGAAGGAAAGAGATGCTAAAAATTAGGATGATTAGGTAATTTAGGCAAATAGAGTTATATTTCATTTCCCTGAAAGGTATATAATGGATCTGCAACTGAACAAAATGTTTATGAGTTTATAGAAATAGTCAAATGAGCATACATAAGCATACCACCCATATGATCTTTTTAAAATTGTTTTATTTTTAATTATTATGGATACCTAATAGTTATGTACCTTTATAGGGTATATGCAATATTTTGATACAAGCATACAACGTGAATTAATCAAATCAGGATAATTGGGGTATCCATCACCTCAGGCCTTAACATTCTTTGTGTTAGGAACATTCCAATTACACTCTTAGCTATTTTAAATTATACCACATTTTTTACATAGTTGAAGTTATAGGAAAATGTGAGGGAATATTTTGTGATTTCAGTCTTTTAAGAGCCCCTAACACTTTGCTTGTGAAAACCTCATTCCTCTTCATAGCTACCAGGATCGTCTATGTATTCTCACAGCAATATCAAACATAATTTTGCAGCCAATGGGAGGAATCACAGCACCATTTTAA